ACCTGGACACAAGTATTAAAAGACTACTAACCCGTGAAGGTCAGAAAGCCTAAAGCCTCACACCAGTGCTGTTCTGGAACAGCCTCCAACGCAGCAGAGTGAAGCCCACTGGCAGGGTTCAGAGGGGAGCTGCCCCATGACTGCAGGACACGGGATGGGCTGATCCCAAGGACAGTGCCAGCCATGTTTCAGCATCATCGAGGGGCTTCTCCACAGCCCAATGCTGCATTCGGTGGGACACACCAGCTAACCAGGCAGAGTGATGGAAACACCACTGTGCCGTCCTAACAGCAGACATCTGACTCTGCCTTTCCAGCCCCTGGATTGCTCCTCCACACTAATGACTAGGATTGTGCCAGCTGCACATCAAGAGCCAGGCTGATGAGTCAGGAACTCTTCACAGTCAAGAGCTGCATGGCTCAGCTCTCCCTCCAGAGCCGCTGAGGGCAAGCTGTCCATTTTCAGAGCCATTGACTGTTCCTGACACCACACAACAGGTAAAGCATCTTCTGCTTTTATGAAGCCCTAAGCACCCTCCACATGAAGCTGCCCCTGTGAAAGCTGAACTGCTGAAGCAGCTCACCCCCAGCGACAAGAAGCTGAAGCAAGCCTAGGTGACTGAAAGACAACCAGCCTTAGGGCTTACAGTTGCAGAGTCGTTTTGGATTTTGGGAGGGTAAGGGGTACACGAAAGATAAGATAGAAACAGAAACACCAACACATAACAGTTCTTTTTATTCTCTTCAGAACACCTATGGGAGAGTAGCAAGAGACAGATTTTTCCTGTGCAGGGGGTGAGGCAGTGGCCCAGGTTGCCCAGAGAAGCTGTGGATGCCCCATCCCTGGAGGGGTTCAAGGCCAGGCTGGATGAGGCTTTGAGCAACCTGGGCTGGTGGGAGGTGTCCCTGCCATGCAGGGGGTGGGACTCAATGGTCTTCAAGGCCCCTTCCAACCCAAACCATTCTGTGATTTATGATTATTGATTCCTCTCTCCATCTCAAAATCACTATAGTGTCTAAATCCCAAGTTAATGCTGAAGTGGGCCAAGCTGGAGCTTAATGAGCTGCAGGGAGTGGGCAGCACTGAGCTCGAACTGTCTTCCCCCATGAGCTTGCATGCTGCAAGGGCAGTATGTGGGGGGTCTAGAGGGCTTCTATGGACTTGTGGGTTGAAAGACAGGTACATCAAGAGGCAGCCTCAGAAGGTAACACGGTGACAACATCAGAGGAGGTTGATCTTAGCCTGTTTTGATGAATGCTGAGACATCTTCCCACTCTCTATCCCATGTGCCTCACTCTACAATCACCATCTCCAGCCATTTCAGCTGAATGTTTGCTGTCCAGGCATGGTGGTGGCACACAAGAAAACTAAACCTTGACTCTGCACGGACAGATACTGACCCACCCACACCAACAGCCACAGGCAATGGTGCTGGAAGCCATTCACACTGAACCCATCTGTGACCCAGGCTCTGATGGGTGAGGCATCACTCCTGGCAGCAGGCTACTTCTGTACTAACTGCTGCTTCAGGATTAGCACATAAAGATAACATGACCTTCAAGGTCCTCAGTGCATTAACTAGCCTTCAGCTCAGCCTCAGTGCATCCCTAGATCATATCCCAGATGGAAGTGACAACATGAGAGGAAACATCTGCAAGCTGCACCAGGGGAGGTTTAAATTGGATATTAGGAAAGATTTCTTAACCGAAAGGGCAGTCAAGCATCGGAACAGGCTGCCCAGGGAAGTGGTTGAGGCACCATCCCTGGAGGTATTTAAAAGATGTGTAGCTGTGGTGCTTAGGGATATGGTTTAGTGGTGGATTGGGCAGTGTTGGGTTAACACTGAACTTGATGATCTTAAGGGTCTTTTCCAACCTAAATATTTCTATGTTTCTATGAGCTACCTGAGGACCAGCCAAGGGGAGCCAACAGCTGTTGTCCTCTGTCTACCAGGTTTCAACTAAAAACGGCAAGGATCTTGCAGAAAAGGGAACATAGCAGGCTACCTGCCACTTTTAGAAAACTATACCTGCCAAATGCTGCCACGTTTAAGGTGTGTGGCCATTTCTGCCAATACCTACCATGGCAAACATTACAGGAAAGGAATCTAGTCCAAAAGGAATAAGTTGGCAAGTTTACCCAGGGGTCCTGAGTAGTCAAGTTGAACAAAATTGTATCTCTTGGGACCCCAGAAGTCCTACAGAGAAAGCTACAGTGTTTAGCTTGGTATAAAGACGAAATTCTGGGCACAGGAACAAAATATAGAATTAAGTCTCCCAGACAAGTAAGCCTCATCCTCTGCTGTGTCCTGTCCCCATATCCTATAATCCCTTTATAGGATTCCTCTGGGTAGGAAGGGCAAGGAGAACCAGTCTCACCCCAGAGTCAAGGCAGGAGGATATTTGTTACCCAGCTAATCTCTCCAGAGTCCACTGGAGAGGAGGATAAGCTCATCTAGAGACACATCCAAAGCACCTCATGTTTGCCTGTGCAATTTTATTTTTAAAATAGTTTTGCATCCAAGCCAGGTAAGGGAATATACTGATGCAATTAGCTGCAGGCAGTTGGCACAGATGGTCCCCAAGAAACAGAGATAGCTGCACAGCAGGGGTTTATATTTAATGATGAGCCAGGCCCTCAGCAAGGCAAGTCAGCAAGACCCCCCCAAAGGCAGTGGAGACCAGCCAAGCTCACTCAGCACCCTGCACTTCTTCCACCAGTGAGCAGGGCACTGCATCCCCACAAGGGGCCAAGATCCCTCATCAGGGACCCAAGCAGCTGTGATATCTGACCTTGCATCCCCCAAGAGCCTGAGCACCCTGGGCTTTATAGGAAAGCACCCCAAACATCTTGTATCTGGCAGCATCTAGATATTCTGAGATTATTAGGAACTGTGACTTTGGGGGAACCAAGCTTTCAATGCCACTCCACCATAAGGATGTTATACCCCAAATTGCCTCTACATAGAGAAAAAAAAAGATACTAGAAAGCAAAGCTGCAGTTCAAAAGCTTCGTTTCTGCTTAACTGGGGCAGCAGCAGCATCCCCAAGCAGAAAGCCCATCCCAAGTGGTATTTGTCCCACTTTACAAGATGTGGATTGGTGATCCCTAACACCAGGGGAAATTCCAGCTCACTGCACTAAGGTCTAGGTTGATCAGAAGAGATTTAGACCACAAAAGCTGTTTCTATTGTCAAAACCACATAGCACACCAGAGAGCACCAAGTCCCTTGGATGGCAGGCACCTGCAGAACCATACCCCAGAGCCAGAAACCCACAGCCTTCCAGTTGAGTCATCACCATTTCAGAAAGCTGGCCCTAGCTACAGCCCACATCTGCCCTTAGAGCAGCTCAGAGCACATTCCACAGGCCTGTTTTCTCTGCTCTTGTTGCATAATAGCTCAGCAGGAGTCCAAGAAAGTTTGTAGCAGTCCTACATCAGAGGAGAAAGATTTTTTTTTAAATGCCTGTGCAGAAAGTCTCATTAAATAGGAAGAGACCAACACTCAGTTGAAACAGAAATCCCTCTTATCTTCCTGTGCAGAAAACCAGGCTTCTAAAGGAGATCCCAGAGGGCTCAGAAACAGTTTAGCCTCCTGAATCATACTGCTCTTGCCAAGCAGGGACCTTATTTCCCAGCCTGAAAGATGAGGATTTCCCCCACACTGCCCTTCCTTCCCCTGCTGCCACCATCAGCACCGCATCCTTGTGTGGACAGGTACATGCAAGATTGATCCTGGCAAGGGCTGAGGGCTGAAGCTGCAGCACCAGCGAGCTTGTGGAAGGCTTCAAAACAGGCAGCACAGGAGCTGCAGCACCTCACACATGCAGCAGGGAAGGCTTCCAGCTCCTGCTGCCCTCAAAACTCAACAGGAGTGAGAGTTATTGCTTCCTGCAGGGAAAAGATGCTGATGAGCTGTTGTCTATGGCACCCCACCTCCAATCAGAAGAAAAATACCATCTGGCATGCCACCCCTGGACAGCTGCCAACCTTTGCAGTAAAATCCGAAGGTAAGAGAAGGTCAAGAGAAAGGCAGGGGAGCAGAACAGGCAGAAAGATTAATCCCTGCCAAGTGGTGTCAGTCCAGACACTGGAGTACAAAACTGGGTGGATGAGCAAGCAGAGGAGAGTTGAAGTAGGAGAAAGTGCAAGAAGCAGAATGAAACAATTCTCTGCAGTAAAATCACAGATGAGCTGAAGAGATAACAGATCTGAGCTGCAGACCAACTGCAGAGGAGGATCCACTTCCCCCTACCCCTCTCCCAATGGGTGCTTGCCCAGGCAGAATTTGCAGCACTGGGTTTCAACTGTCTGAAGACAGTCAGGGAGCAGAAACTCCAAGACCAGCAGTGGGAAAAAGCAGTGCAAGAGAAGTGAGCCCAGCGGGTGAGGCAAGGCTGGAGGAGCCAGTGATGGGACAAGAGCTTAGCAGGTAGCACTGAGTTGGATGACCACCTCAAAGGGAATGCATCCTTTGCCTCTCCCAGCAGTGTCACATAGGGAGTGTAGATAGAGCATCACTTGTCCTGGCAAGCTTCCAGCCAGCTGGACACCAAGGTAGGCATCTCATGTTGAACATCCCCCTGCATTGCACATGGTGAGGATTCCAGCAGTAGGGTTGCAAGGACTGTCCAGCTGTCTGAACATGTTCCCATGAGCGTTAACTGCTACAGAGGCTCTGCAAGGGATGCACACAGCAGCAGTTACAGGTGCAGAGCCAGACTCTACTGCAACAGCAACACCACTGCTGATCCCTCTCCAAGTGAAACCCCATCCCTCCCACCACAGCTGCTTGGATTTCAGGCATCCTCCATGACACTGGTCACCGCTTGCTTCCTGTGCCTCCTGGAAGGGGGACAGGGTGTTCAACAGCTTTATTAGCAATAACAACACACGCACATAGCTGTGTGCCAAACAGATACATTGGGGAGCTCAGTGTCAAGGCGCGTGTGCCACTCCGCATGAAACTGCCCGCCTCCTATCCTTGGACTCAGTGGTACCTTCTGACTCCAGGCGGTCCAGCCCATAGGTCACAGCTGTGCTGATCCTCCTCACAGACGGAAGAGCTGTCCTCCTGACAGAAGATGCCATCGATGCTGGAGTTACCAGGACCACAATTCTGCTGGATGGCTCCTCTGTCTGGCCAGCCTGGGTAGCAGACAACCCACCAGGAGCTGGCACAGCCTTCTCGCTGGTGACCAGGACCACATCTGAGAGATCTACAGAAGACAGGAAGCAGCAGCAGTTTGGCACAACAGTATCAAAAAACCCACACTGTTTAAGAAAAAACTCCTTAATGAAAAAACTTAGAGTGGGAAAAGTTATTATCCTTCTGCTTCTTTCAAGATGTGCAAGTGGCTCTGCTGTAATGAAAGCTTCTCCTCTGGGACAGCCAGCACAGGAGGCTCCCTTTAATGAGAACTCAGCCAGGTTTTACTTCCACTGCTTTGAGGACTGCTAGTCACCACCCCATAGCAAGATCAGAGCACTGAGACACTGGTTGAGATCCAAACCAAGTGAGAGATCTAATTGTTTATTGCAAAGATAAAAATTAGCTGAATTCTTAATTAAATCCCAGAAGCAAATTAATTAGCGGAAACTGCCAGAAGAGCCTCCTCTCCTCCCTACAAAGGGACCTTAATTTAAGACATACAATGCAAATGGGTTTTTTCTTTTGATGCCCTGCAATATAAGAATTACCAGAAAAGCTGCCCAGCAGCAATTTCATTACAGTGGTACCTCTCCTACAGAAATACACTCAACCTCAAAGTCAGCTCTGTGCCGAGGGACCCCTTGCTACACTCCTGCCAAGATGACAGGTTCCTCCATGTACCTGCCAAGGTGACATCAAGCCAGCAGGCAGCAGCTGGGTGAACAGGACTGCTTAAAGCATTTCTGTATGAGCCGCATCAACCCAAGAACTCCCCATTCCTCAATGGAAGGGAAGATCAGTGCAGGCTTCCACAGCGAAGGGCTTGCCAGACTCTTGCAAGAGGGTCACACACTCCCCACACCTTACACTGCTCCCATGTTACCCCCAGGAAACATGTTTGTTCTTCAGATTGAGCATCAGCAATGTGCTACTACCTTTGGCTCCAGAAGTGAAAGGTCTCCCTCCACAAATAAAAACTGGCTTAAATGTCTAAGGCTAAAAGTCAGCTTGCTAGCAAGGACTGCTGTGGGGATTTTGTTTGTTTCGGGGTAATTTGATTTTTTAAATCTCTACTCCACTTATTTTGAGGGGAAAAAAATATACATTAGCATATTTCAACATGGTGGATCTGGTAGCACAGGTAGAAAGCAGTCATAGGGCTACAGGCAGCCTGCAGAAGGCGAGAAAAAAAAATCATTTAGAATACGGATGCTGTGTGCTGAGACTTGAATGCACAAGCACTGATATTGGTTTCAGATGGACCATCCCATGGGGAAATGAACCCTCAGTCCTTGAAGCAGAACTCTACCTTCTGTCTCTGGAGTGTTGGCCACAGAGGAAGCACCAGCTGCCACCAGCATCTGGGTGGCACTGGGAGCAGTAGGCATCTGGGTGTCCTCCCCGCTGTTTTCCTGCGGAAAGCTTGCAGCTCCTGCTCCCTGGGTAGCAGCAGGCACCAGTGTCACAGCTGAGAGCGCGGCATCAGCCTCCTCAGCAACTGTTAGCACCTCCTGAGTAACACCTACAGCAAGAAGACGTGTCAGTACCAACCTGGAGTATAGCCGAGAGCAACAGAGCAGGCATTTGAGGGACTGTAACTCCAGGCATTAGCATTGCCAGAGCCACAGCGCAAGCAGCAGGTCCAGCCAAGCATCATCAGGGTGGTGAAGAATAGACCGATGTGAGAATGTGCATAACAGGAGGGAAAGCAGCAGAATCAGTCCTTTTTTAATTGCCCCTTAGGGACACATGGACCCACTGGGGAGCAATACTAAGCAAGCAGAGCACTGCACTGGTGCAAAATACCGTTTGAAGCATGCGAGGCTGCCAGAGCAGTGCTTTTAGTGACTCTCACAGCTACGAGACTTCAGCTTTGTCGAAGGGTTTATTTTTGTTGCACAAGTCTTATTGATAGTGTTGTTTCCCCAACATCTGGGAAACAGCAGAGAGGGAACCTGCTGACAAGTCAAGTGCTTAGAAATTAATCTAGAGATTAATGTCGGGTTTCAGCACCAGCATGCAATCAGCTTTCCTTCTTTTACAGAAAAAGCTAGATCTTCTAGATGCAGTGAGAAAAAGCTGTCCTTTTGCCCCTGAAGCTTCAGGGGGAAGATTAAAGAAGAATTAAAGATTAAAACAAAATCCTAAACTCCAGATCATGTTCCTCATCAGCCTAGGAACATGTCATTGCCTGACACCTGACCAGAGTTTAAAAAAAAAATTCCTCTTGTTTTTTTAAACACTGAGTGGAAATATTGGCATTGGGCTGAAGGTGCCACCTCTGCAGGTAAGTACAGCACAGGGTGACACCTCAGCTGGGACAGGAGGAAGGCTCCTGCCTGCCAGTAACAGAGCTGGCACCAACACTGGAGAGTCAGAGCCTGGACACAGCTTTGCTCTAGGGTGGGGAGACAACACCAGGAGCTTCTGTTACAAAGGACAACACAAAGCTCTAGATGGATCTTTTGACCTGAGCATCCTTGTAAAGTCATGGAAGATGGCAGTCACCCACAGGCTACCGGTACACCTTGCCTATTCCTGGGTTTAAGCAGCATTTCAAGCCACCCATTATCTCTGTATCCACAGCTAACAGTTGAGAGCCAAGTGATCCCAGATGCTAATTTGTTTAGCCCCCCAGGAATTATTTCCCCCTTCATTTTGCAGAGCTTCAGAGTGAGCCAGTACCCAAGGCACACCTGGGGCAGTGTTATCCTGCTTGAAATCCAGTGCTCCACCAGCAGGTCAGAGGCTGGGCTCCCTCTCTAGTCACAGGAGGGACATACCAGTGGGATATTCAGAGGAGATTTACATCTCTGGTCAAGGCAAGATGCCTATGACCTGACTACAGCTGTCCCCCTCAACCACTATGTGAGCAAAGCTGAAGCCCCTGCTTTGGTAGCACACCACACATGCACAACATCACCAAGTTTATTTAACTAGCACCAAGTCTCTGCTGACAAAATTGCCGTTCTCTAGAGAGACCTCCACACCCAAGTATTCCCTTCAACCCCAGGCTCAGCTGCCACAGCCTTTCCACTCTCAGCTTGAGGAGCAGAGGATGCAGCTCAGTACAGCTGCTTCACATAACATTCAGGACAGGGTGGCCACCCAACAGACTGTGCCTACCTGCACACAGGGACATCACATATAGCGACAGCCAAAGGCTAGGCAGTATTTATGGATGTGAGTTACCATTGAGGCTGTTAATCCCACAAAAAGGTCCACAGCCTTTCCTGGGAGAGAGAAGGGGTGTCCCACCTCTGTTGGAGATACCAAGATCACACCTTTCTCCACTTTATCTCGGTGCAAGGAAGCACAGATTCCTCAAGAGCATCCCTCCTAAACCTACACTTAGAGGCAAGCGTAACATGCAAGTTTTACCTTTCCATGAGCTTTCCAGAGTAGGAGAGAGATCAGACTCTGTCTCTGCCATCACAGCAGCCTCTGTCTGTGATGACAGGATGCTCTTCTCCTCCTCTTCTGTGACTGTATTTATGTTTTCCAGTGAGTTGAGATCAGCCATGTCCGCATCCGTCACATTTGCAGTGTGGAGAGCATCACTGCTGCCTGTGGAAGCTACTGGTGACTCCCCTCCTTGCACCAGGGCTGTGCAGTTGGTCTCCTTGGCCAGCTCAGGAGCTGGTGGAGGGGACACTGGGGCTGGCAGCACTCTTGTTGCATCTTCTTCCTCCCCTACATCTCCCTGTGGGGTCTGGGATGGTTCTGCTGCCCCCAGGTCCTCCATCACCTCCTCATGAGACATGATTCCCCCTTGAGTTACATCTCCCAGTTTTGTGTCATCCCAGTCAGATGGCACAGTGTCCATAGGGTGGCTGGTGGCAGTGCCAGCCGTGGCAGGCTGCTCTCCTTGCCCAACACCCATCCCTGCTTCCAGGCGGAGGGAGGCCTCGGTCACCATGAGGGGACGTGTTGCAGCCGCAGAAGCTGGCACAGCCAGGGACCTCGGAGGGCTCCCTGTGTGGGCTCTCAGCATCCCCACCTCAGAGGTCACGCCACCAGCCTGGGCAGCTGGGGTGACAGGGTGGTCACTTGCCGTTCCCCAGCCAGGAGAGCTGGGGTACCGTGTGGGTTGGGGTGCAGCTGAGGGGTGCAGGCTGCTCTCTGCCTGCTCCTCCTCAGCTGTCCCAGAAAGGGGGTTTGCTGAGAGGCTGACAGAGCTGGGCTCTACCTCTGTGGTGGTGTCACCAACGGGGCCACCAGACTCCTCCTGGACAGTGGGGCTCAGTGTGGTCACAGCTGTGGTCAGCATGGCCTTGAAAACATCATCCTCACCCAGCTCTGACTGCGTGGGACCAAGCTCCTCCTCACCCACAGCAGGCACAGCCACAGCAGAGGTGGGAGCATCCTGGCTAGCTGGGGTGACCTGGCTCTGGCTTACAGGCAGCGCTTCTCCTGCTGCAGTGAAACCTTCACTGAAGGGCATCCCCGATGGCTTTGCTGACACTCCACGTGGTTCTTCAGAGACAGGCTGCTCAGAAGGACCTAGGTTATTTTCCAAGTTCAGCACACTCGTCCTTTCATCTTCTACCCCATTTCCCACCCAGGGGCCAGGATGGACCTTGGTCATGTCCCTCTCCTCCAGTTGCTGAGATGGAAGTCCTCTGGTCCACCATGCCAAGAGCAGCATGCTGCAGGTGACCACACAGATGTTAAATCCTACTGATCTGCTCATAGCTGAGAAGAGATGTGCCCAGAAGCCTGCAAGGCTGACACGTCCAGAGTGCAAGACCTACAAAGGGAAGAAAACAAAATTACTCGTAACGATCTATTGACCCACAGCCCTAAATAACTGGGTGACAAGCTCCAAGCATGCTACTTTATGGCCAGTTCTGAGCAGACCCCTCCTGCACATCCCAAGAAATAGATCCCTCCATCTATTTTACTGTTCCTAGCCTACCCACACTGAAGCTTCACGCCAGACAAAAACAAATCCTGATCTGAAGCCCAAGACCTTGTCAAGCTCTCACCCCAGTGGTAGAGTGCTACGCTCTACCCAGACTTCAACCATATGATGAGGAGCAATGTGTTTGTCCTTTACCAAGTCCAGAACCGACGTTTGCCATGGCCAACCAGCCTGAAGTCTCAGGGCTATGATGGCAAGCCCTGCTCTGTGCATTGACTCAGAAGGAAACCAAGGAACTTGTACAGAGAACAAGGTGGGTCTATAGGGCACAACACAGGACCAGAGCCAAACCAGGAGGATTCAGGGCTGCATTCATGTCCTGTACGAGCTCCTTGGCCCCACGGAGAAAGGCTACAGCCCAGACGGCAGCACTGCTACATCAGCACAGCCTTTATGCTGCACTGCACCACGGAGGCACCTCCAGAAAGTTCCATGCGTATAATCATGGTGTGCTTCCAGAGTTTCCAAGAGAGCACTGAACCAGTAGCCCAGCAGTGATCCAGCCAGCTGACAGCCAGCTCTTGGCAGGCTCTGCTGCCTCCAGTAACACAGCTCAGGCTGGTGGACAGATGGAGAACCTCACAGCAGCAGCCTGCTCCCAGCCACCTCTCAGTCCTGGGTTTGCTGTGCCATCCCTCAGCAGCAGCAAACCATCCCATGCAAGGTCCCACTCGTTACACACAAGACAGCTGGTCACACAAGAGTATCAGGCACAAACAGCCCTCCATCACACAGCAGATCTGGTGAGGTCCTCCTCCCAGTTTCAGGGGGTAGTTTGTTACTGGTACAGTCAAGTTCTACTGCAAGAAGCCTCCAAGCATCAGCAGCCTCGCTTTGGCTGGCACATTCTTAGTTTCACAAGTTAACTGTTCTTACCTTAGAGTCACAGGACTAACAAATATTAGTAAAGAAAAAGTCAGAGTTGTCAAAACCAGCCCTCAGCCTTCCTGAGAAGGGCAAAGGTCTCTTTGCAGTCTTGCTCATGGGCACCCAGACAAGTCCCCCAGTGTGCCAGACTCCTCATTCCCCCACCCAGACAGTGTGTGGGTAAATACTACCTGCATTTGCACACAGGGCAGCAGCAAGCTGCCTATCACTGCTCTGTTACACAAGGGTGTATCCCTTCTCCATGTCTTGTGATGCTGTGCAAGAAGTTGTGGGGAGAGGGATCTCAGCAACACCATATTGGGTTAGATGTACTAGCATGAGTGGCCCCCATGTCCAGCTGCTCATGTGCATTTGTCTCTTTTTGGAAAGGGTTATTGCATGTGTCCAGTCAGCTAGCACAACCAAGAGAGCTTATTCCATCTGCTCCAGTCACACACAGATATATATTTCTGTTGTAAGACATACCTCCTACTGCACACAAGAGACTTCTCTCCCTGAAGACCCTTCCAATCTGCAGGGCTGTCTGTAGCACAGCCGACAGCCTCAGCATCACCAGCCTAGAGATACACAGATCAGAGTTAACTACTGCAGGCTCCATTATCTGGTTGAGCCTTCAGGGCACATAGAGTCATTTTTTCCACTCTCCCTGGCCCTCAGCATCCTGAGCTGCCAGAATAATTCCCTGTCACAGGCCACACACATGCACCAGGTGCTCAGGGACAAACAGAAGCCACCAAGAAGCTGTTCACCAGCAACAGCACAGATAGCTTCCACTTTTATTTTTCACATCTCCTTTCTCTGGAGATAGAGGCCACCCATCTATCTCCTCTACCCTCCCTGCCAAAAGCACAATTGAAAAAACTGACAGTACCCAGCTATTCTGCCAGGCTCATCCTTTATGTGCTTCTCCAATTAAAAAGCACTAAGAGTATATTATGCAAGTTAAATTGATAATGCCCAATGATATGCATCTGCCTTGCCACGCTGATGAACATCAATTACATTCACCTCACACCCCTTCAGCAAGGGCCAGTTAAGACCAGACATATTGAAACATCAAGAGGATTTTTTTTTAATAATGAACAGTTTGGATCTAAATACAGTTTTGCTAGAAGTCTTCAGGCTACACAAGTAGTTTTAGCAGTAGTTAAACCTAAACAGAACTCCAGCTGCAGTTGAAAGCCAGCCACAGCATTTCTCTTGCAGTCATATACATTATACATGCACACATACCTATATACATTTGTAAGTTTCTAGCTCTAGGTTCTCAAATAGCCCAAGACACTCAGGAGGTAGTCAGCAGAACTACTGAAACATTAATCTCTCTTCCCAACAAGCTTACTCCATCTTTACTAGAAACAGGAGTGTCAGTGAGCAAGAGGGAAAGCTGCTCCCTAAAAGGCTGGCTTTTAGAGATCCAGTAATTAAAATGTAAGAAGTATAAGAGCCTTTTCTCCTTCTGGCTAGTAGATAACACAGGCAGTCAGTACCAGCCTGATACACGAGCTCCCAAGGCACTTCGGGCAGCCTCATGCTGCTTCCCCTGGTCTGAAAAGCACTGCTGACTGGAGTTACACATTTGTAAAGGGTGAAAGCAACGTTTGTGAGTTATTTGCTCAGGAAATCCACAACAACTGGATCTAAACTAACCTAGACCTCTGCATTCAATGAAAGCTGGAGATGCTGGCATGGAGCTTGCTGCAGGATAATAGCACAAGTTCACACTTCAAAGAAGATTAGTCAGAGTTTAAGAGCTACTTAGCTTTAGGAAGAGGCTGGATTAGACAGTGTACGAACAGCAGTGACCTGGCTATCTTCTTAAACAGAGTTTGACACCTTGCTGTAGCACTTCCACTTAATGCAAAAAGGGATCCCAGATTTAGCCAGTAGCTGGCTGCCAAGCAGTTGGCTCTTCAAGCTGCACTGGGCTGTACATTTATCCTCCCATCTGGCTACTTTCATAGTCAGTCCACTCTACAGCCTTAGCCAAGCAATAAAAACAAGCTGGAACACACTGCTCTGACCAAGTACCTCCTCTATAGTAAACTCAAGCTTTTTTTTGTTACTAGCTTGAAGCTGTGGAATAACTCCGTATTTCATGCTGCAGGAACTCCTTGTCCCCAGATTTCACTGGCATTCTCCAAGCTGGAGCCCTGGAGGAGCTGCCAAGCACCAGCCAGGCTCTCAGTGGGAAACTAATCCTTGCTTCCAATAGGAAGTGCACACAGAGGGCGAGAGACAGCACCAGCTACTTCCCCTGCACTAAATAAAAACAGATCCCAAGAGCTGCAGGTCCCCCGGCTGCCAAGGCAGCACAACTGCAGGCAGACATGGAGCTCTATCTTTAGCATGGAAGAAAAAAGTTTTCTTTTAACACCTGGTAGGCTGGAAAGAAGCACAAAGGACTAAAAGCAGGTGCCAAAACTGGGCATCTCCAGAAGTTGCCTGTCAAAATAAGAACCATCTACTACTGTGGGCAGGTCACCAAGCTGAGGGTGAATAAAGACAAATTGCTCCCCAGTCTTGCAGATTCAGTTGGACCTTTCTGAACCAGGCTGTTTCCTTGCTCCATCCAATTAACACTAGCAACAACTATTAAGCCATTAACCCCCTCTGAGCTTGAGAGACCTGCTTGAAGAGTCAGCTGTCAGGATGTCTGATGAAAGGAACCCCAGAAAGGACCTCAGAAAGAAGCCCATCCTGCTAGGGTCACTCCAACAGGGCAGGCTCAAAGGTGGACAAGCACAGAGAAGACAACATTTCTCTTGTTCAACAGCTGTTCCTTCCACAGACCAGCAGTCTGTGGCCACATGCTGCAAAGGATGCAGCTCCCTCTGCCCTAGCTGTGTGCAGCTACTCCCCTGGACAGCTGTTCAGAGTTTTGTCCAGTTTACTTAGAGAAAACTCCCTTTGCTGTTATTTTCTGCCTTTGGCAAGTTCTGGCTGTGTTTTTCGTGAACTGTTGAAACAGAGAAAAAAAAAAAAGGCATCAAGCTTTTAACTCACTTGAATTAATAACCCTGTTCCAACAATCCCTCTCCCACACAGAGAGGACACTTCTCCAAAGCTGAAGTGGCAGCATGCATCATACAGCCGAGAGCACAGGAGATTAACAGGTCAGCTTCAGACAAATCACAGGCTAGCCTTTGCAGAACACAGCTTTTCACACCTCCGAGTACAAGGTTGATTATGCCAGCTTTGACTGGCTGAACAGCTCTGGATGCGCTCAGCTCCACAATTCATCCGCTGATTGATACTGGAAATGGACAAAAACACTGCAAGCCTCTTAATGTGAAGATTTAGCCAAAACAGACAAGTCAAGCAACTGCCAGCAATCAAACACTATGTTACTGGAGTGCTAATGTATGCCACCCAAGCCTTATTACTTGCGCTGAATATAAAAGCCAGCAGATAATACACCACAGAGCTCCAACCCCTACTTTTGCACACAAGCTGAGAAAAAACACCTTCATTTCATCTTACATTATGTCCTTGCCCAGTTCAATCAAGTGAATTGTAGAACTGCTACTCTCACAGCACACACTTCAGATAAACAGTCCTCAACCCGTTAAATCATCTCCAACAGCTCCCAGGGAAATCCCACCAGTAACACAACTCCACACCAGCCGGTTTGACGAGCAAAACAAAACACATCCTCACAGAGGGGCACATCCTCTACCTTCCAGGACAGGTCCCTATGAGCAAGGAAATGAGATTATTAATATTCTGTAAGGCCAGCTTCCTACCGGTCCTCCTGAGGCACCTTAATACATAATACATCACCTCCACTTCCAGCATGGGTGTTCCAGCACTAGTCCTTAGCGAAGCGAGGAACATGACATGTTTTAGGCATTAATCCCCCCACCGCTAACCGATTGCTT